TTCTTCGCAATGGTGTATCTGAACCGGCTGTTGAAGGTACCCTGCAGCAAACTTGTGCATCATAATACTGGTGAGCTCATGAACGGTTGACCTCTTTTGTGTTGTTTGTTGCCTTTTTTGTTTGCTGGTCGTTCTCGCTTTCGTGCCTTTGCCAACTTCCTCATCCCATTATTTTATAGCAAATGGTGCAAATCTGGTCTCTGCGTCCTCTTGTTACTCAGGATGCTCGCTGCGTGGTGCGGTGCTTTTCGTCAGGTTTGGCTACGTGCTGGTGGCGGGACTCGTTGCAAATAAAACGAGACGGACCACCCTTGCTGGTGCTTGTGGAAAACGTCACAGCAGGGTAGGGCTGCTAAAAATGTACTATATACTATATACTACATCGTATCTACTGTCCACTATCTACCTTATACTGTATACTACATACTATCTGCTGTACAGTATCTACTGTATGGTATATGGTATATGGTGTATGGTATATTAACTGCTATATACTATATTGATGTAATGCAAATTTGTTTAATTAACTTGGCTCGCGGAATCCAAAGGAAGACCCTAAATCGTTTCCCCTAGGTACTGTTTTCCACAAGCACCAGCGAGGGTGGTCTTACAATGAGTCATGCCCCCAGCACGTAGAACCCTCTGTAACTGACGAAAAGCACCGCACCACGGCCGGAGACCTTCACAGCGAGCATCCCGTGTAACTATAGGACGCAGAGACCAGATTTGCACCATTTGCAACAAATAATGGGATGCGGGGAGTTGGCAATGGCACGACAGCAGACCACCAGCCAAAAAATCAAAATGGTGCCAAAAAGAAACACCCCTCCCTCGTGAACTGCTGTGCTACCGGAAACTGTGTCTATCATTCAAGATATGAGCTCATAACTCACAGCCAGATCGGCTCACAGGCGGGCAATCCATTCGAAGTGCGTGTGATCCCTGCATGTTGCTCATCTTCCTGACCCCAAGCTACAAAGCCAACATCAGCCAAGCAGCTCTCTCTCACAGTCTGGCTTTGTGGCCAAGCGCCTTGGTCCATGCATGTTGCTCATCTTCCTGACTATAGTCCTGACCCCAAGCTACAAAGCCAACATCAGCCAAGCAGCTCTCTCTCACAGTCTGGCTTTGTGGCCAAGCGCCTTGGTCCATGCATGTTGCTCATCTTCCTGACTATAGTCCTGACCCCAAGCTACAAAGCCAACATCAGCCAAGCAGCTCTCTCTCACAGTCTGGCTTTGTGGCCAAGCGCCTTGGTCCATGCATGTTGCTCATCTTCCTGACTATAGTCCTGACCCCAAGCTACAAAGCCAACATCTCGTCTGGCCCAGCATTGTCTCTCTCACTGTCTGGCTTTGTGGCCATCTTCCTTGGTCCATGCATGTTGCTCATCTTCCTGACTATAGTCCTGACCCCAAGCTACAAAGCCAACATCAGTCGAGCAGCTCTCTCTCAGTCTGGCTTCGTGGCCAGGCGCCTTGGTCCATGCAACCACCGTTCACCGTGAGCAGGGGTCAAAGCAATACAGAAAGGCGCTGCTCCGACTGAATTTGCACGGTGAGATGTTCATCTGGCTCTTCATCTGAAAACAGCACATCTCTGAGCAGATATGCTTGTGATCTGGTAAACGTCTGTCGACAAGTTGCTTCCGGCACTCCTCAATCATTTCCTGAACACGTAGCCTTCAGGCACGATGGATGCATGCAGATGCAGACGCAAGTGCACGGCAAAGAGAAACAACCAAAGTCGGCCGTAAACTGCACAGAAGCTTCAGGTGCACGGGGTCATGCCAGCCATGCGGACAACGCCCGTCAAAAATGTAAGCTTCAGACCCAAGCCTCTAGCTTGTAGGACCTTCAACGTGTCGAAACCTGCTCCAGACGCGACCTGTGAATCTGCTTGAAGCTACATGGAGTGCTGCGCCAAGGGGACCCTGCCGCTCTCGTCGAAGCTTCTGATGGATGGCACTTGCATCGCGAACGGCGAATCGAACCAGCTACAGCTGAGAAGCGCGTTGCGCAGCTTCTCCATGTCCCTCCAGCCGGCGCGGTTGTCACGGCGAAGATTGTCACACCTGAGCACCGCTTCAGCTCGAACAATCGGAAAGTGAATCCAGCCGCTCGTTCCAATGCTTCTGACCCAGGTGGCAGCTGCAGCACGAACCCAGCAAGGCCACGAGCCCAACAAACTGCAGCTGAGAAGCACTTTGCGCAAATCGTTGCACCTCGGTGCCAATTAAACATCTTGCCTACTGCATCTGCTGTTGGCAGTGGATCAACCCCCTTTACACACCTTGTGTGAGTATGCTGAAGTACAGCTTGAAGACTCGTTTGTAGCCAATCGTTCTTCGCCCTCAGCTCCTGGACCAACCCGACGAGAAACCAGTACCGGCTCCACCACCTCAGTCTCATGCCCGAGCTTCCGGACATATGCCGCATGCAGCGACGCCCGCACATACGAGCAGTGTATTTGCCAAGGGGCTCGGGGTCAGGTGGAATCGGTCCCGGCGAAACATGCTGGCAATGCACCATGCATGGCATCGTCGACATGCTCTCCATCTCTGGACTTCACGCAAGACGCTGAGGCAAGTCGAAACGTGTCAGATCTTGAACCTTTGGCATCGATGTCTTTTTTACCTTACATTCTATCGGTAATATGAGAAACCGGCAATTTGAGCTGGAACCTAGAACTAACTTTAAACTTAAACCGATACAAAAAGAATGAATATAGAAGTGAACCCATCAATTAGTTGGAAGGGTTATCTTATCTTCACACAAGATCCTGCGCTTATGCAAAGTTTTAAAGATTACGTAATAAATTCCTCATATTTTAAAGGAGATGCTTCCTTTCTCGAATCTTAAAGATGTAGTATTTCATATTTTAGTCAGTGAAGAGCAACAATGTGTTCTATGCACCACATAGCGGTGATTGGCTGCGAAACTGTGCGCAACTACAGTAGCTTGATGAATCAGCAAGCGGTCACACACTGCCAGAAGGTCGTCAAGCATGGAGCTCAGCGTGAACACGGTTTCTCAACACAAATTTGTATACTCATATAAAACTAAAGAAACAAATACATATTTATGTACCTATTAAATGCATCCGACCCCTTCATTTCGGCTTCTGGACCCTGAGGAGGCTCGTTTTGAGCCGATGCATCAACGTATGCGACGTGTCCAAGCTGCTTTGATTTCTACTTCTAGGCCGACCTCTATTGCATCCTGCTCTCCAGCTTAAGCAGGAAGCGAGCTACGATTGCCCTGACGTTGGCCGATTTCCCCAGTTTGGACAACCTTCCAGAACCCTGCCCGGTCATGTAAGATGCAGATACGGCCGGAGACATCCCGGATTAGTACGACTGCTCGGAGTTTCATCTGGATCCTGCAAACTCCCCATGCCAGCATGGTCCAACTTGCCACGTCAACGAGCCCAACATGGACAGTTGTCTCTTGGCAAGTTCTGAAGCTGTCGAGCAGTGCTGCCTCAGAAAGCCTTTTTGCGTCAGCAGAACAGGAAGTCTGAAAGTGAGAAAGAGTGCCGGCCTGATGCTGAATGTCTGGGCGGGTAGGGTGAGGGGTCGGGTCTCTTCGGACATGAGGCATCCTGCTTCCTCTTACATCCGCACAGATCCACGGATTGTTGAACTAAGAACAACCCTCAACACTCACAGAGAAACTGGCTGGAAACGAGGTGGGGGAATGTTCTTGCTTTGTTGGAAAACTTGGAACCAAATGTACGGAGAAACGTCAATAACTGAAAACGCAGGCAGCCTTGCAATTTCTGACTAGCCTGCGAAAACATCCTCCCCTAACCGCCCTAACCCCTCAACAAAATCACTCGCAAGCTCTGCCTGCCTAGCTCCAGTTGTCCTCCCAAACCCCAGAGCGCAGGTCCGAAAATGCTAAAAAGGGTCTCAGCAGGAGCTATTGAGTTTAGAGCCTGGCTTTGGGTTTAACTGAGTCCGCGGAGTCTGAAGGCCCAACTCTCGTCCTGAGGATTCTCTCCCCGAGAGCCTATCATCCGCATCCGGGACCCTCCCACCTCTCAGTCCGGACCCCGCCCACCCGACTCACTTCGAGCCTGCCTGCAAAGGATGGTTTTTCTTTGTACAGTCGCATGCTGCATGACCGGATGCCAACCAAGCAAGCCATGATGATGCCTGAAGTCCTGAGAAACACAACCCCTGAGACATAACCCGAGGACCAGAACCGTATTTGCTCTGATGCATAAGAGCTCAGCTTCTACCTTTGGATCCCAAATCCTACTATCAGTGACGCAAACCGAACCAGCTGCATGGTGGCTGCGGTCTCCTCAGATGAGCGCTGGGCAGCAGCGGAGGCAGAGTGGCCGGTGGATGACGAGAGGAAACAAGAGGTTACAGGTGCCGCGGGCCGAAAAAGGGCCTGTAATAATTAGCTTCAGGTCTTGTCATGATACGTGGATATGATTCCTAGCGAATCCGCCCATTACATTTTGCAGAAAATACAAATGCTTCCACACTCAGAATGCCCAGGCCACTCTGCCTGTTGAAAGACGCGAGAGGGCCCCCAGTGCATGTTCTTGGGGAGTCCCAAAGACTTCATTCGTCGCCTCGGCTGTACACACGACATGGCGATTTATCTGTAGAAACCAAATCAAGATTCCGCTGATTTGCAGGGGACACGCTGAGCTTTTGATCTGATCTCGGGTTTGAGGTCAGAACCCGAAAATGTTATTTGAGATCCCAGACTGTTATCACCCTGTAATCGACCTCTCCTGGACCGCAAACCTTCGAGAGATCGCTTGTAAAGGGGGCTCAGCAGTGTTTCCCCTGGTACACAGATTCTGCCGCAGGCCGCGGCTGTCGAAAGCCATGCTGGCGTTCAGCATGAATTGACACAGACATCTGTTCTCAACGCCGAAAGCGCACAAGGCCGCCGTGAAGACCATAGGCAAACACACTTCTGGGTCTATGAACATGCATGAACACTCGTAGATCACGATCCTGTTGCAGCTGGCCCTTATTGGCATTTCAGTGGAACTCGCTCCGAACCTGCGCCGAATGAGTGTGGCTTTCGGTGATGGAAAGTTCTGGACACATCACAAACTCAAGAGTGCAGAACACCCCAACCTGAACAACCCCACACCGAAATCTATCTTGAGCACTCAATGAAGTCTTGATCTACTAAAACAACAGAAACACCTGCAGCAGACAAGCTTCATCGTGCGTGGCTGAGCATCTGTCGGTCTTAGATATTAAGATAATTTTTTCGTGTACCGAACCATAGCGATGACATCGTCGGTTGAATTATTGAACCGATGCGCATCGCAGACCGTAGGCAATCAGGTTGGAACGGTACCTGCCTCTCCTCCTACTGCTCAAGACAATCGGAATGGGAACCTTGACGGGTTCTGCTTGTTGCAACTCTAATGTCTTAGCATTGTACTTTCCTTAACAGATGGCTAGACAGGACGGTTCTGCTTTCACCTCTCGCTCAATCACAACTTATCTTCTGAGCTGCTGTGGCCTGCCATGTTGGCTTTCAAGGTTTTCTAAAGGTCTTGTCAGAGAATTCTGCGCACAGACGTAGCACTAGCTTCATGCAGCAGAGACACTGTCTCTTTCCGATACCCAACATATACACGCATACACCCACAAACTGGAAAGCTCGCATTGGCGACTGCTGGGTTGAAACCGAAAGGAAAAGGGTCAGAAAGGGTCCTGGGCCGAAATAACACAGCAGCCATCGCGAACCTTAGACCTCCAGCTTCAAAACTTCAAAACCTCCCGGAACCTGCAACCCAATGGCCTGGCCTTGCATGATCCACTCAGTGCCAAGATAATCCATCCTTAGTTGGCTGAGGTTGCATGTGTTGGCTTTGAGATGGGGCCTTGAAGGGCTATGGCTTCGGGCTATGAGCAGAATTATCCGTGCAAGAACTGTGTTTACCTCTCCTTTAACAATACGGAAGCAGCAAGGGCAGGAGCAGTTGCGAAGAATTATGCTAAGAATTCATGGCCGCCTCCGTCGCTGGATAAGTTCGTCCTTTGCTTACTTGTTCTATGGCGTCTGTGCCGTACTAGACTACAGTGTCTGTTCAGTGACTTCAGAGGTTTGCATTGTGCTTCATTTCTTCGTTCATGCTTCGGAAGCCCGAATACATCGCATCTAGACTTCAAACTTAGTACCACTAGCTAGCCTATCTCCATGTTGCATGCGTATCTCGTTCTTCCTGCCCAACATTAAGTTATCACTGTTGAAACTACACCCTGGTTGGTATTGGCTGGGCCGGCTGAATCCAAGAGTTGTTTTGGAGCGATGTGGCTAGCATACTCAATCATACTTGTTCTAGTGTTCAACTTGTGGCCAGCCGGATGGGAAACATGGAAAACGTACCAGCCTCCTCTGCTGCAACTTCTACCAGCCCTAACCACTCAGCCCTAAAGCCTACAATCCTGCCCGAAATCGCATCAACCCCATGACCGCCGACTCTAAAACAACCGTCGACTGGCCCTGAAACCCTACGTTAACCCTTTATCCTCATAAACCTGTATGATGGGAGGCCAAATGGGGGGTTTAAGATTCTGGGGGTAGGGATTCCTTAGTATGAACCCTCTTATGGGAACCCTAACCCCTACTAAACCCCCATAGGCTAAAACCGTTTGGCCTCCTATGACTATAGCATCTCGGGCCAGGGCCGTGCTTGCAAGCTCATGCTCGAGTCAGGACTGGGAGTTGCGTTGCGTTTGCGCGTTTCTGGCTTTGGGGTTTAAGGGTTCCGTGCAGGGTTCCCTTTCGGTGATCCTTCCCGGCCTCTATTGGGGTTTTAGGGTTTAGGGCTTGGTGGCTTGTGATTGGGTTGCGGGTTTCGGGCTGAGGGTTTCATGCCAGCATTTTCTGACTGCTGGTGTGACAGCTCAAAGGTTTTTGAAGCATGTGATGGTCGTTTGCTACTTTCTTCCGACCTGACATATGGGCGTCGCGGTACACGAAGGTACTATATGGAGACCTTTGTGGCCTATACTGGCATGGCTGGTCTACATTCCATCCTTTCAACAGCATGGTTCAAACACAGTGACACTTTCGGAATTGCTCCAGGATGCAATCCTCCACCCTACATATCCCAGACTCCAAAACTCGAGATCCTAAACCCTCAAATCCGAGACCATACAACTTCACTATACCCTCAACATACCTTAATCCTACACATGTCACAGGCTTCGTCATAAACCCGTGTATGCAATGCAAACTTCTCGAGTATACAATGCACACTTCATTCCCGCAAAACCCTTCAAGATCTCATCTGAACAGCTGGGTATCGAGCGAGGTCGGTTCCGTGGGAGTAGATGCCGTTGTGGTGGAGTGTGCCTCCACCTCCTTTTATCGCGGGGGGTTTTAGTCGGAATTAGGATTTGTTGTTCAGGGGGGGTGAACGGCTCTGTCAAGTTTCGGATTCAGGCTTTAGAGGTCTCTATACTTAATCGCCCTTTGCCAGCTGCTGAGTTCGAAGCCTAGCTTGATTTGAATTGGACTTGAAGCGTGAAAGTTCCTTCAGATCAACCGATTATGGTTCAGTTCGAGCTCTGTGGCGGGTGAAAACTTGTCTTCTGGGAGAGCCTTCCGGGATTGGGGGGTAAGGGGTGTAAGGTAGGGGCCTTAAATGATAATTAGACTAGGGTTTTGGGGTACGTTATACTATAACCATATGAAGGGACCTCCAAAATAGTATTCATAGTTACTAAGGTCCCTATATTAGAGACGCTAGATACGTCGGAACCCTTACGAAATATTGACGCTATTCCGACCATTATTGCAAATACCGTTTTACCACGCTACAGAAACCCATGAACATGATATCGGAACCGTATCACTAAGTATTTCTACCCCAATATCACACCAGGTCGCGTCCTGCATGGGACCGGCTTTGGGAGGCGTGTCCTCCGGAAGATCTCGTATGATCAGTGTTGTGGCTGTTTTTACAGGACATGAACCTTGTAGTTGCTAATTATACGACCAGCATCATCACTGTCATGGGCTTAGCATGATCATGACATGATGAACATTGATGTGATTGTTATGACTGTCAGGATTGTTGAAATTGGATTGATTGTTATGAGTCTTGTGGTTCCTATGACTGTCATGACTCTTACTATGTTTTCCCCAGTGCTGGTTTTAGTACTCTAGTCAGCAGCATGGTCATGGTTGACATCAAAGTAGTCTCAATCTTTCTGCGTGCCTGCTGATGGCCATGGAGGCGACAAGTGCGACCCTTCCCTATCTTCGCATGTTTGATCCAAGCAGTTGTGCACAGCCGGCAGCGACGAATCTGCTTGGGAGAGCTTCTTAGGACGTACAAGCGAGCCAGATGACTCTGCATTCAGGCCCCTGTTTTCCTGCTATCTACTATCGACACTCGCTTGTGCCCGTGTTGGTGATCTTGAATGTGTCCTTCTCCTGCCGGTGCCGTCCTTGTTGACACCTGTGTCGCAACGCCTAAGTAGGGTCAGTGTTGTTCTTCTTCTTGCTGCTGCTGCTAACCCTCGTAGCTGCGGCTGGCTCCCGCACCCTGAACCCGAAAGCCCTGAACCCTAAACCCGAAGCCCCCTTAACCCCAAAACCCTGAACTGAAAGCCCTGAAACATACACCCTAAAGCCCGAATAAAAAGCAGAAGCTTGGGCAAAAGTCCTCCGGCTTCGTGTGCTCCCAGGGAACCAGGAACCTCGACTCGACGAAGCTAAGTCCCCGAATCCAGGGGTTTGATGGTTCAGGGGTTAGGGGTATGGGTAGGTTACTTAAGACTTTAGGGGTTTAGGCTTAAGTGCTTTGGGGACACTGAGGTTTAGGGCTTTAGGGGTTTAGCGGCTGAGGGTCCGATTTTTAGGATCTGGGGTTTTGGTCGCGTGGAACATCGGCTACAGCCGAGCTCGAGAAGTTTGTTTCTCCTCCCACCGGACCAATGTAGGGGCCGTAATAATTAGAACAGGGTGTTGGGCTCCTTTATAGTATAAGTATAAGGAACCCTACGGAATGATATTGGTAATTGTTTACATCAAGCTACTACCTTATGATGAAGCTCGCGGCCCTGCCTTGAGTCCAGACTGAGTCACTCTACTTAAACCTAGAGGCCGAAACCAAATAAAAGCTTAAACCTTAAGCCCACAAGTCCTCAGCACGTGAGAAAGCAACACAAAACAGAGACACTAAACCTAAAGTACCCGAAATCCAGACATTCCAATACCCCATAATCCAGGAATACGCCTTAAATGACCAAAGGCTGAAAATTGCGATTCAAAGTACATACCTGCATGTAGGTGTACTGGGCTATCTCGGAAACCGCAGGCTCAACCTCGAAACTCCACTCGCTGTGCTCGGCACCTTGACTTCTCACGAAGCAAAACATTCGCTTTCACAGCCTGGCTACAGGAACAAGGTGTAGGGTTTGGGGCTTCGGGTTTAGCGTTGAGGCTAAACGATCAAGGTTTCCATAGAGGGCCCCTTTGGCCTTTAGTGCTCGAAGACACACGGGGGGGACTTGTCGTGCGGGGCCTTCAATAAGAATTATCCTTTTCTGTTTGAAGGGGTATGATTGGAACCAAGAAGTTAGCCGCTGGGTCGAAGACCAACAAGCTTAGCTGCAACCCACATTAGAGACTTGGCAAAAGCTTCTGCAGACATTTAGGCGGGGTCTGAGCATGGTGTGCCAAGATTTGGTTGTGCGCAATGCTTGCCTGGATAAGACATGTGGAGCTTTCTTGATGCCTCAGCCCCTGTCAAGCTTCTACCCAGCAAGCCGGCTTTCACCCATCGGTGTCGGTGTCGGTGCTTCCTGCAGGTCGCATTCCTTCAAGGCCCCTAGACCCTAAACCCTAGACGCTACGGCCCCAAACAAGTCCGTCAGCGGTGACGATGCCTCCTCAAAGCTCCATCCGCTGTCACAGCCGGCGCCTCGGGACAGCAGCCGACTGCGCGGGACTCCGGAAGCAGGATTTAGGGTCTATCATGGGGTAGGGTTTAGCGGGTTAGGGTCTATACGGGCTTAGCAGCTTCAGGTTTAGGCTCGGAGGCAACCCCGATGCGGGCATACACAGAATGGGCGTTCGACTAACTTCGGCTTGCAGGACCGAGCTCGCCTTGAGAATCCCTGTACTTTGAGCGAAGGCTTCGGATAGCGTATGGAAACACTGAACATAAATCGGAGAAAAAACGAATATAGTCGCAACTCGAACACGCATGCCAATCATACCAACCGTGATAACTTGAACATCCGTAGTACCGAGACTCTTCTGAACGTACTAATATTAAGTATTAACCATGGCAGCGGTGCAGGTAGCCATAGAGGCATGTCGAACCAAACTTAAGACACCGAAACGAGCCGCAACAACATCTGTAACAACAGACACGTAACACAATTAGTAGTAGGATCAGCCACTCTGTAGTCGATATCAACGGAGATAGTAGCAGCACGATGACTGATTGTAGACTGCGAGAAACGCAACAAGAGTAGCAGCATTAACGATTCGATGATTGCAAACGGTAGTATCTCGCTAGTATCAACACTCATCATCATCATCAACAACATCACCATCACCACAGCACGGTTTAGGTTGGAACTGTGCACCATGCCAGAGCAGGAGCCGCCGAACCGCTACGTGCACCGTTAGGTGGTGTTCCCAGCAACGTTACATCGTATTCATGACGGCAATACTCAGAGGAATAAGCAAGAATCTACTCAAGAGCCCGACCGAAAGTTTCAGCATTCTTGGCATCTGCCCCAGACCTGCCAGGTGCAGAAGGAAAACCCTTGTGGCAAAACAGGGTTTGAGGGGCTTCGACTTTACCTTGGGCTTCTTGTTGGATTGCGGGGCTTCGGATGTGGGTGTTAGGGTTCGAGGCATGGGCACAGAGATTGGCCTTGCAATTCTGACTCCGAGGTCACGTGCCAGGTACAACTTCTGTGCACGCAAGTCCTAAACAGATCGCAGATGCAACGTCTGGGTGTTTTCCCAGTAACTGTGGATGTTGGTGACGACTTTTCTTTGAGTTGGTCTGAGATAAAAAGCCGATGCTGCTAAAACAACGTCGATGGGCATCAAGACTCCCAGACACTTTGACACGCAGACACAGAAACACGGGAATATCGTAACACCGGGATACCTGAAGCGAGTGAGCGTACATGCAGAGGCTTTGCACTGTGGGCTCTAAGATGAACGCTCGAACACCGGCAGTATCGCTGCACACATACTCGCACACCGTCGCTTGCTAATCTGAACAATACCACTACCAATCATGGTGACAACATAATAGGGATCTATAGTAAGTAAGATGGTTTCATAAATTATGGCACCTTAAACTAAGTCCTTTAACAAGGACCCAGACATCATCACCTCGGACCTGAAGTCAAGCGGTGCCTGCTACGAACCTGTGCGCTTCCGTGCGTCGAGAAGACGTAATGAGGTTAGAGGCACAGGTGGATGCAAACAACAAACAGACGTGATCAGATGAAGAGGTGTTTCCTCATGTCTGACCATAGAAAGGTGCGGAAAAAACAACGAAAAAACAAAAAAATCATTGGAGGGTGTGGGGCGGGGGTTCAAAGCTAAAACTTCCGGGTTCAGTGGCTTCTGGATCTGGCTGGGCAGGATGTTAGGATCTCGCGCATAGGCCGCATAGTGCTTTAGACTTCACGAAAACAAGCATTGTTATCGAAACTTGGCACAACCGGCATAGGGAACTACCTATCTGGGGAGTGTGTTGAGGGTCTTTGGGAGCCTGTTGAAGCATGGCAGCCATGCCTCCGGGATCGGCGATGTACGACAGAACACAAATTAACTTTGGCGGTCTTTGTGCTTTACGGGGTATGGCAACGGACGCTGCTCCCACAACTACTCGAAGCACAAGCGGACATCATCTTCAAGCAACATCCTCAGCCCACACACCATGCATCCCGCCCATGAGTGTCACCACCTAAGACTTAGGGCTCTGAAAGAATGAGCCCAAAGCTGGACCCCGGAGGCATATCCCTTAATTAGGGAATTTTCCTTAGATCAAACTAGGGGTCCTACTAAATTTAAGGTATATTCCTTAATTAAGGGATAGTGCCTGAAATTATATTAAGATATTAAGATCCTAGCATACTTGAAGGTAACTTCCTTAATTAAGGGAAAGTGGAGTCTCTAGGAATCCCCTTCTCGCAGCTGTCAACCGAGCCGGCGAAGCTCCCTGGAGAGCCGAGTCTCAAGCTGTGCAAGCCTGGGAAGATCTTCGGACACCGCCATTCAGACGCAAGTAAGTACATGTGTATGCGAAGACGGAGCACAGAGAGAGAGAGAGAGAGAGAGATAGAAAAACAGAGAGAGAGAGAGAGGGAGAGAGAGAGAGAGAGAGAGAGAACGAGCTAGACACGCAAAGAAGGAGAGCAACAACACTTCAGCCCCTCAGCCTCTCTCCGACTGATCAGCGGGCCCTTAGCCGCCAAACTGGAGCCCGAGATATTGATATGAGGCAACTTCGACTGACCTGAACCCGAAAAAGAGCCTGGCCGAGACGGGCAGGTGTCAGGCTATGATGGACTGAACATGGCGACGATCATGGACTATGATCATTGTCAGCCTTATCATCGTGATTATGATGGTCGCGCAGACTCGTGTGTCACATATGGTCTGGATCCATCATCGTTCCCTTGGTTTCCATAGCTTATTCTATCCCGGCTCTTCGCCCATAGGATCTCGCTGTATACAGCGTCCACTACTCCCACCTTGAGCCCTAGGCCAACGCTTTCTGACCCCTGTGCTGCATGACCTACACCGGCCTCCCTCGTACTCTCTAGCTCCAGCTAAATTCACTCCGGCTTACTAGAGCTCAGTCAGCTTTGCTACAAGCTCAGGCTGTGACAAGTCGCAGTCGTCCAAGTTCCGTGGCTGAGTATCATCCTGTGCAGCCGGTGACATACAGCAGAAGCCCCAGAAACCCAATAGCCTCAATCCCTAAACGTCATGTACAGGAATTCTAGCACTGATTGTCCTTAATCCGGTTTCCAACGTTTTGGGGTTTACTAGAAAACGAATGCATGCCAGAATGTACAGCTGTCCAGCCTGTAGTGCATGGCGCTATGCGTTCAGATCTGGTCTGTTGTGACAGCATAGAGCACACAGTTGTAAATCTGGGGCTGTGCGAAACAAATGGGAAGGCCATCAGATAGCACAAATGAGCATGCCAACACAATAGTGTACAGCAGCTGTAGCTGCTTGCATCCGTTGCCCTTCTGATTTACGCTGTTCTTCGCAGATGTTGTTGTCTGTGCACTGGCCCGGTGTGCATGTTGTGACACAGCGCACAACACACTAACGGTCGCAGAGACTTTCCGTGGTCTTTACGAATTTGGTCCCAGTGCCATCAGCTTCGCAGCTAGTCAGCTACCCAGACCCCTGGGAGAAAGTAGATCCCCTAATTTGTGGCCCTATACTACTAAAGGGTACTTTATGGGAGCCCCCATTAAGGGATCTACGTTTTGGATCCTCCCTCTTGGGAGTTTCGCAGAGCACAACAGCAGCACTTGGGATCGGGGACTTGCAACGCATCAGGGCCAACAGCCCCAAGCCCTAAAAACACTAAAGCCCTAAACACCCTGAATCCCTAAAACTCCAAACCCTAGAACCCTAAACCACGAATGTAGGAACCCTGGGCCAATAACCAATCGGGTGCATATAAAGAGCCCTAATAAAGGCCCAAGGTTTCTTAATCAGGGTCCTACATTAAGCCCTAGTCACTAAGCCCCTAAACCCTAAACCCCTAAACCCTATAAGCCCCCTAAGCCAAAACCCCTAACCCCTAGACCCCTAAGCCCTAAACCCTAGAACCCTAGAACCCTAAACCACTAGAACCCTAGAACCCTCGAACCCTAAACCCTAAACCCTAGAACCCTAGAACCCTAAACCACTAGAACCCTAGAACCCTCGAACCCTAAACCACAGAGCCCTAATCACGAGCTCCCGGTCGAACCTCACCATCCTCGTCGTCGCTCAGGTCGGGGCTCCACTTCAACTGAGTCGCGGCTGATTCTCACTCCGAGTACCGACAGAGGCCAGGATTTTAGGATGTAGGACTTAGGACATACATCTTACATGGCTCTTCATACGACCACAAAGTTTAGGATTTAGGGGTTGGGGAATACACTTTGATCCATAATGGCTCTTAACCTTCATGAAGAATTCTTGGGCTCTCTGTATAGTGGGCTGAGAGGTTGCATACACTTAGTGCCTGGGAATCTGTAGCCCGTCCAGGTGACTGACTGAACCGAACCTGTGGATCAACTTCCTACTTCATAGGCACAGATGAAGTCGAAGCTTGCACTGACGGGCACGTAAGCAAACATGACAAGGGAGCGCTATCATGGCGCTGCTACCGCCGACCGCGGCGAACTCTTATCCTCCTCCTCCTCCTCCTCCTCCTCCGCCTCCTCCTCTTCTGGAGGTCGTTGCTGCAAAGCAAGCTGCCTCAAAGCGCTGTAATTATGCTAACTACTTCTGGTGGCCACCGAATCCTGCAGTCACTGAACCTTGCCCGAGGCCGGTTCCGTGCGAATCCCAAGCTTGCGCTGAGCCTGAGGAAGCAGCGCAGGGCTACCGGAATACTTTCAAGAAAATCAAGAGCGCAGGTAGACACCGGTTAAGAAACCACGTTTCTGCAAGGACGAACGGTGGGACAAGTGTATGAAAACGTGTTACAACTGGTCGCGAAAAGGTCGGGAATACTACTGGTGGCACGCGGAAGATGTCAGAAGTCAGCAGGCACTGCTTTTCTCTCTACCAGCTTCCGTCGCTTATCGGACTAACATGTTGCAGTAGCAGCACTGAGAAACCCTGCAGGATCAGGAAAAGCGTAGTTGCTGGAAGCAATAGGTCTGTTACCATCAGTGGAGACTCGCAGGAAAGAGCTGTAGCAACAGACGCGCAGGCTTAAAATTGTACAGTCTGGTCTGGGGCTTGCAGCAGTCGTAGTTCGTTGCTGCGCGCATCGACGGCTAAGCTGACTCTGTGCCCCTGGCGCTTGACTTCCAGGTCCTCCGCCGGTTGTCTTTGGCCTGGGCAACATATCCAGAGACTCCAATATCCCTTAATTAAGGAATATTCCTTAAATCATATTAGGCATCCTACTATAGTTTAAGGAATATTCCTTAATTAAGGGATATTGGACTATCTGGGAAATCCTAAATCTTGCACAAAACCTCAGTGGATCGCTGACACTGGGAATGGAAAAAGGAATCCACCATCGCCACTCGGACCCATGAATGGCGTTGCGAGCCCCCCGAAAGCAGCTCTTTGTGGCAGTACCGCACCAACCGACTACGAAATGCTTCGAGAGCTCTCCGCGAGCAAGGAGCACCGAAACCCGAAGAAAGAGGCTCCCACACGCATCGTGTTGAACACCTGGCAAGTCCGAGGCAGCACATCTAACCATCTTGTTGATCTAACAATAACAATATAGTAATAATACTTTAAGAATAATATATTGACTATAATACTAATTTAACAATAACAATTAGTATTATTATCTCCGAAGATCTCTCTGGTCGCCGCGTTTAGGGAATCGCAAGAAGGTGCCTTGCAGGCAAGCTTTCAGGACGGGGCTGTATGCCAAAAACTGTACAGTTCAATATTTCCGCTCCTCTGTGCCCTGCAAAGGACAACTTCAATCATGCGGCCACCTGACTTGCATGCTCGTGGCTTCAGTGGTGCACTCCGATAGATATGGGCGCCACAATCATGCAGTCACGAACATAGGGAGACGCACTTGGAGCTTCTTGTTCAGCAGCCTTCTCTGCCCTGTGCCGTAAGGAGAGCTTGCAAGCCTTCTGTTCCTTGCTGGTATACCCGAAGCCGGACCCGAAACCAGAATACGAAGCCGTGTCATCTACATAGATAGACAGACATATAATCAGATACTTGTAGCTAGTTAGAAAGCAAGATGGATGGGTAGATGGGTAGATGAATAGATGGGTAGAGGACAGGTTAGGTTGATATTTGGTTAGTTAGTTAGGCAGATAGATGGATACATGCATATGTGTACAGTGAGTTCATAGTCTGCTCACTCATCCGAAAACTCTATGCATGTATCCATCTGCTTCTTTGATTTGGCCCTGCTACACCCTTGCACGAAGCATGGCGATGCCGGCCGACAGGAGCTGCGACTTCGAGTAGGTAGTGCTGTGCATCTCAACCTGATGCGATGTTCAGTGTCGCTGGATATGCCTACTTGTCGGGTATCATGGGGAACTAAGGGTTAACCTTTTTGGCTATGTAGGGATTATATAGGGACTATACTACCCAAAAAAGGTTAAAGGTTCCCTACTCTACTACCAGGTATGAAGCCTGCTGTGTCCTGTAGGCTGCAATACTGCGGCAAGCAGTTGACAGCAACAGACCCCATGCGTCAAGTATGTGCATGCGAGCCAAGGCCAAAGTGTCAGTTAACATCTGCCGGGGATCTCGACTTTCGAGTAAAGCAACTGTGAGAACAAAAGCCCCAAGAAGAGAAGAGGACTTTCTAGAAACAGCAGATGCCCAGAAAGAAACCCAATGAGCAAAACACAAAGATTAAGCCTGGAACTCGCAGCTTCGCCGTTTACATCCCGTAGCCAGGGCTTCAAAGTTCTGCGAGGCCGCGACCCAGGTATCTTGGACTCCTGGCTTGACCCGATGTGGGCACCAGCTCGAAAAAATACTACCACGACCACTGCCTCCACCACCACCACCACGACGACTACTACTTCTCCTACTACTCGGTAGCTGCCGTTTACTAGTCACTACTGCAGCCACCACTGCTATGCTTGCTGCTACTTTTGTTACCGCTACCCTAGGACTACAATTATACTTTGCCCTGTTGACCCCAACACATAATCATTCCCACAGTTGCTGCTGCTCCCCCACTGTTCAAAGTTTCAGGATTGGGGCTGCTCCTGCTCCTCTGGCTACTGGCTGCTGCTTCGGTGTGGCCGTTATTCCAGCAGGTGGAATACAAACAATGGATATTGCCACACTCATGAGTAGGCACACTTTCGGATGTCAGCGATCCGAGCAGCAATCATGCCTGATCACTGTACCAAGGTACCTCCACCCCACCTGTCCTAGCTATCTGTCCAGTATCATCACTCCCTAAGCCTTAGCATCAGAATATCCAGCAACAAGACTCTGCCCAGAATTGGCCTTGAGCTTTCATAGCGGCAGTGACCTGCAAAGCACAAGTCCGCGTCAGGCATCAGCCACTCCAAATGCCGCTTGACTCCTCTGTCGTGTCGCTTCGGTATGGAGAGTTTTTGAAGTCTCCGCAAGCCCTGAAGTTCCGATTGTAATAATACGAATAGTAGTAGTATTAACAATAACAACACTTAGAACTAATAACAATAATAATAACAATAATAATAACAATAATAACAATAATAACAATAATAATAACAATAATAACAATAATAATAATAATAATAGGGTTTCCTGAAAACAGCCGTATTAGCCCAAGCCCGACAGGGCCTCATCGGTCACGGGGAGAATGTCACGGGCGCGTCCGCGCCCTGTCAGCAAAACGGAACATGCACAGGAGTTGATACTTTTAGAGTTTAGGGTTTAGGATTTATGGGTATAGGGTTCAGGATCAGGCCGGATCTCGAGTTTAGAAAAGGATTAAACTCGAGTTTAAATCCCCATTGAATCTGAAATTCGGCCTTATTCATAGGGTTGAGGGTTTCATATCTCTTCGGGGTGCCGGCTCAGGGTTCTATTTTGGGCTGGGAGTTCCAAACGGACGATGCCATGCACTGTAGCACCTGCGAGGTGGTACGAGCAGACTACTTGGAGGGGCAGGGGACTTAGTAAGTAGGTTATAAGTAGAGTTATAAGTACCCGAAATGGAGTTACCCCCAATTATAACCCTACTTATAACCTACTTACCAAGTCCCCTGCCCTTCCAAGTACCCTCCTCAGCATGCCTCGGCCGATGCCTACAGCCCAAGCAGTGGAAAACCCAGCTAGGCTCCTCCACAGCACCTTAACAATGAGGGTATCCTTGTTCCTACTTTTAGGCTTTACATTCAGGGAGCCTAAAAAAAACCTAATCCCTAAACCCTAAACCCAAAAAGAAAAAATGATAAAGGGTAGTACTGGGAACCTAGCCTGAAGGGCATTTCCGAGCCATCGACCGGCATCACTGAAACACCCCAGAGCCCTGCTCGATAGCAGGGTTTAGGGGTTTAGGGTTTGGGAAACCCCCCCAGGGACTCCAACATCCCTTAATTAAGGAATATTCCTTAAATCATATTAGGGATCCTACTATGATTTAAGGGATATTTCTTAGTTACGGGATATCGGAGTCTCTGGGCCAAAGCCCTGAACACGCCCACGGCCCAGGGCCCTTCCGAACAGGGCCTGACAGGAAATCGATCTCGGTCTGGAAGCTCACGCCTGGGTGAAGATACGATGTGCTTTGTTTGAACTCCTTTTAAGCTTCCCCGTCGATAGAGACTCGTTAGATTTAGGGTTGAGGGTTTAGGGTTTAGAGATTCAAGTAGAATTCCAGCTCTTGTACCTTCGAGCGGAGCTTCAGGTCTTGGACAGCTTCAGAGGCCAAAGCTTGAGCAACATCAGCACAACCGCTTCAAAGACTGATCATCCTTTTGACGCAGCCATTGCTACTCAAACCCCTCCAGAGCCCAGACACCTCGCGCCTCAACTGAACTCTAGAAACTACGCCCTGCACGCACGTGCAAAACATCTCCAAATCCCAAGGTTCCCAAACAAACATCTCCAAGCTTCCCTAAACCCTAAACCCTAAACCCTAACCCTAAACCTGAGGTGCCGACGCGAACCCACTTGTAGAGCTCCGGCCGCACTGCTCCCATGCCTACAGAATCACAGAAAGGTTCAGGAAATCAGTCTTGACGGTCTAGGCTTTTGGTTTGTAGGGCTTAGGAGGCTTAGGACGCAAGGTTTAAGGTAAACAGTTGAACAGGGATGTGGGGATTCGAGATGTTCTTCTGCCCTAAACCAACCCCTACATAAAGTTTGCGTGTATTCGCAGTGTTCTTAGGTTTGGCGCTCCACAGACGAAGGGTTTGGTCCGGGCAATCTCGGCTTCTGGGCACCCTCTGTTCCTGCAAAATGTTGCGCTGACCTAAGAGGCAATGGCTCCGAACGAAGACTCATTCCGACATTACCGCTGATCCGATTTCCTTGCCTCATGTCCGAGAAATGCAAGAAGATGTCGCCAAAGCACGCCACCTCGGCCACAACAGTGCTGTCTTGCTTGGGAGAGCCTCTTCGGAGTTTCGGCTTCAGGGTTTGAGCGTGCCGTTCGTCGATGACACAGGCTGCGGCACTCCCGAAGGAGATCGTTAGTATTATTATGATTATTATTATTATCATTATTATGATTATTATTAGTATCATCACTGTTATGATGCTATTGATATTAAATATTATGACATATGATATTATTGATCCTTCTTATGATTATTATTACTGGAGCCATGTCGGTCTTGCCAATGTACGCGAAGAGCGCAAGGTCTGCTCCGAGATTCCTGCTGTCTTGTCGCAGAACCAACAAGAGTGACTACGAAAGAGGACCAAATTGAGCATATGCACTAGTCCAGCTGCATGGGTTCATCCTGATGGCGACAATAAGTCTGACTACCAGTCTGATGTCTTGATTTCGTGATGACTCTGGCTGGACCATTGTACCCCTAACCCTAAACCCTAAACCACGAAACCCCTAAACCCCTAAACCCTAAACCCTAGACCCCTAAACCCTCCCTTAACCGTAAACCCAAAAGTCCCCTTCGCCGTGACCACAATGATTCCGGTCGCTACAGACAGGAGCCCGGCGTATTCATCGGCCTCGACGAAGCCGAAGCCCTTGCCTCGCAGGGGTTCCAAAATTAAAGAGAAAACTATAAAAAAATAATAACAATGATGAGAATGATAACGATCACAATAACACGAATAGTTAGTATTATCATCAATTTAATACTATTAGTAGTAGTAAGAAGAATAGTCATAAAATTAATTTCACAAATAGAAACCAAAATAGCAGCTATAATAATACGAATTATGGTAGTAGTAATAACAATAACAAAACTTAGAAAAAAAAATGACAACAGTAATAGGGTTGGGGCTTAGGGAAACAGTAGTGCTACTCAGAACTTGAACCGTAACAACAGCATGTGCTGGCCGAGCCATCCATGCTGCCATTCTATGCATGAATACAACAAAGCATTGCCTTGCGTGCTAATTACCTCAGTCTTGACTAATTAGGTCTTTCCATTTTCCGCTCTTGGAACTGATGCTGGGTGACTATAGGTTCTACAAATTGTCTTGCAATTGCTGCTGTCGTTAAGGATCGGGATTACCACTCCTATTCTGCTCATCATTGCTTGCGCCGTACTATTGACTAGTAGCGGCAGTAGCAAGTGGGCTTGCATGCTCATGATCACTGTTGCAATATCCACTACTCCTACCTAAACTAATCGACATTTTCTTCTTCACATCCTGTTGTTTGGTCTCAACCCTACACTGCCTTACACTAAGATCTTTCCAGCAGGTTCTTCACCCTGAGCACCCTATGTCCCAGCTTCGATCCTGCAACCAGGCCGCACCCAAACCGGGAGAACTCCCATTCCTAAGCTCCACCTGCTGCCTGCTTCCGGGAGCCAAGAAACTTGAAGCTGAGCACACAGACAACCGAAAGCCAAAACCTCCAAATCCTGGACACATGTAAACTCTAGACCTATAGAACCCCTTAGGAACCTTCCACGAGCTTCTTTACCGTTCCCGTCTGGCGAAGGCTTGCAGCGCCGAACCTCACAGCTTGACGGCTCAGGCCCTTGAATTCCCCTTTGAGGTTTAGGGTTTAGGGGTTAGGGGTTTGGCGCTTAGGGTTTACGGACGAAGAGCTTGGCATAGAACTTCCCGAGGCAGAAATTTCGCCGGTTCGTGATAGAATCTCGCGTTAACTTGCTACAATGGCGACTTGCATGCACAGGATTAAAGCTAGTCCGGCGGGGTCTTTGAAATAGAGAGAAAGCAGGGATTCAGTACCTCAAATAATCTTGAACAGCAGGTTTTACTGCTTCGGGTCTAGCGGTTAGGATATGAACTAAATCGAAACTGACTTACCAGAACTTCCCGTGACAGACCAAAGATCAAACTGAAATAAGATATAAGATGCACACATACTCACTACGGCATGGATACAGTGTGTTTACTTGTATCTATACGCTCGCATGTGTACAAACGCTAGATGTGCATGCAGCCTCTTCGCGGTAAGTCCGGGAAGACTGCAATACCATGTATGCGAAGAAACCCCACAATTCCGTCCCGACCATCAAGGCTCCCGATATCATCTTCACTAAATAAGGATCCGACCATGGTGCGGTGTAGGCCATGGGGATTGCACCTGACGGAAAACCAGGCTCAAAGGTCAGGTACCGCACACGAACTAATTTCACAAGCTCTCAAACGGAGCCTGGCTCACAGCCTCATATGCCCAAAAGGGCTTGGGTGTAAGGTTTAGGGTTGAGGATGATCCAACAGCCACGCAGTTGAACTGAGCAACGCACCCGGATCGTAGGCCGCGTGCACGGGCACCTTCCGAAATCCCGCGTTTTGCAGGAAAGCGGAGCCAAGGCACAAGCTCAAAGCGATCCTGCTCATGGTTCAGGGATGCCTTTGGTTTAGAGCTCCAGGGCTTAAGGTCTTTAAGGGTATGGGGCTTCGGGGCTCAAGTTTGGGGCCTGGGGATCCGGAGCTTGAGATTGGAGAGGGATATAAGCCTTCAACCCTAAACATTAAACCTTACACCCTAATCCCTAAACCCAAACCTTAAATCCTAAACCCAAAACCTAAAAACTCTAAACCTTAAACCCTACACCCAAAAACCTTAAACCCGAAACCCTACATCCTAAGCGATTCGGCAGGGAGTCGTCCTGGCCTGGCTCTTGGGCGTCGGACCACGCCTTGGGCCGACGCGAACGGTGAAGCTCTGGATGTTGAGGGCTCTTTCTTTAAAGGGCCTCTTTCTATTCCGCAGATGGTCTAGAGAGCCTCGAGAAGGCTTAGGTTCTTGTGTATGAAAAGATTTGTTCGCGCTTAGGGTTGTGTTTGAAGGGGTTCTTGGAATGGCTTGGGGTTTCTTTTACGGGTTTGTTTTGACGGCTTAGGGCGGTTCCTTGGTTCAGGGTTTAGGTTACGCACCGTTTGGATTCCATACCGTCAGGAACATGCTTCGGCTTTGTACTGTGCCGTCCTTAAACAGGGTGCCGCAACATGCATTACATACATGATGGTTGTGTCTAAAGCCTAGCCTCAAAATCCTCAAATTAAATAGCGTCATCCAGCACAGACGCAACCGTCGAAAACTCCTTCTACCCCAGACGATGAATCACGCACATTCTAAAACCCAAAGTCCAGCTTTTAGAAACGGAGCCGCCGCAGCTGGGCTTGCACCTAGGGTTCACGAAGTTCCGTTGCAGGACGACAGTCAGAAGCAGCGGGCAGCGACAGTGTCAAAGATGATCGAGAATATGACCATGGTGAGCCATATCCGTCCTTCTTGTTATCGTTGCCATGCCTACTGTCACAGCCACGCCGGGGCTTCGACAACATCGCCTTGATGGCCACAGTCATGTCCTCCGTGTTCATCGGTGGAGCCTGGGTCTGAAGCGCGAAGGAGTGATAACCAAAAACCGATGCGAAAACCTGCAATGTTGAAGCCAACGGTCCAAGAGACCCGTGCAAGGACTTAAAAGCAACAGCCAGGAAAGCAGTATTTTCTCCACCATCAAGAGCCCGCCAACTCTGCAAGTCCCACAGCCTACATCCGGACTAGACCGCACACCCCAAGCGCCCACGTGAACGCAAGCTCAGCCACGACGGATTTCGGCGGGCGATTGTCCTTCTTGCGACCTCGGGGGGTGCACAGTTCGCTGCGACAACCAATACCTGTCTTATTGCCACTGCGATGACTGCTACTGTTCCTTAGGAGTTGTCCCCGTTGAAGAAACCGTATTCCTACCAGTAGTTGTTGTTCTCGTTCTTTGGCGGGCCATTTGTCACCATCAATATGGTTGCTGCTGCGCTGTTCTTGCTGCTTCATGTCTGCGTTTTCTGAACTAGTATGATTGTTCAGAATGCCGCGGGGCAGGAGTTACATGCTTGGCATTCTCAGTTGTATGTCTGGGTGATAGCTGATAGCATTCGTATCATTCAGTGCCCTTCTTAAACTGCCTGTGGGTAGACTCAACTTGCAGCCCATCCTTCAAAACTCATGCCGGTGGCACCTGAATCAAAGCACAGTCCAGTAAGTTCCAAAACCAAGCAAGCGAACGTACAGTAGCAACATACAATAACGAGTTACTGGCAACTACCGGTGGAGCATTCTTATAGACGTTGGTATATGCTTCTGCCGTCATATACCACACAAGTCTAAATTGTTGAGGCCCCTAAACCATCCTCAAGTCAGTTCTCCTCCTCTTCTCCCCGTCCGCCAAAGTCATAGACTTTGGCGCTCGAAGGTTCATGATTAGACCTGCCATGTTATGATGAATACCCTGAGGCCTACACGATGAATACTATGAGGCATGTGCAGGCACGGTTACTAATACCGGGACCGCATTGCAACACGATCACTACGGCGATTACAGATACCAGCACGCCAATGCTGGTGAAAACACATGCTATCAAGAAATGTCGCTATCGTCCTTACTGCCATGCTGCCGGCAGCAGCAGCAGCAGCAGAATGGATAATCGCATGAGCATCTGTTCCCTGAACTCTGCCAACCCCAAGTCCGAATCCCTGCACCTGAAACCTCAGCCTTAAACGCCTTAAACCCTATCCCACCCCCGATTGGGGTCGCGTGGCGTGTCCGTCAATTCGAGGCCGAGGACGTAGTCATAGTTCGTCAGGAACAAACGGCTTCCGACTTTATGCTACCTTGACGAAAAATAACGGGCATGATGAGCCCGTAATCACCGTAATCATGACCGTGATCACGATCTTGGTGGTTGTGATGGAGATGATGATCGCGATAGTGTTCCTGTTTTGGGCTGCATATGTTTGTGCTTGTACTACTAGCCCTAGCACAACACTTTGTAAAACTATCAATCGGATCACCCCTCATTCTTGCCGTAAGCTTACAGCGCAGTCTCGAATCTTGTGGCTCAGTGATATATGTATCTGTTCCTATGGGATGTACTATGTAGCCACTGATCGTTTGTTGTTCCTCATCCTCCAGCACGCCTCACGCACCATCACTGTTCTGGTGACGAGTAGCATTGTCCCAAACAATTCGTAAAGCGGACCGGGGCGCGGGCCCTTGGGTGCCTCGGGCTCGACAGGGGTAGCTTCCTCCTGGCACATGTCCCGTCGCGGGAACTCTCGTGCTGCTGCTTCGCCTAAACTTGGTCGACAACCTGTGATGAATCGCTTCGCTAGCTTCTGTTCACCTGCAATTGCCGACGTCCATGCTCGCCTATGAGCTCACTGAACTCGCTTACTTGCTGGATAAGCATCCAAGTCCAAGATGAACAAAACATGTGTAAAACAACTCTAGTGTGCACAATGTAGTCATACGAGCATTTGGCATCATGGTTTCGACTGCTTCTTTCGTTACGGCCAGGGGTCGTTGCAAACTCAGTTTCGCGCCGTCCGAGATGCCCGCGGTCTTCAAAATCCTACACCCCTCACCACCAAGCCACTACCAACCATGTTACTCGTAAGTGCTGTCGTCGTTGCTGGTCTTGTTGCGAGCACTTGGGACTGGATTCTAGACCTTCCTGTTGGTATTTCTGGAGAGCGGCCGCGCATTGTGTCTTGGTTGTTTATAGAAATACGCTTAATTCAAGACATGCGTGCTACTGCTGACAACAGGTGTAACATTATGCCACGTATGCACAGAGTGCTGTTCGAAATTATCCTCTTTGTATTACCTTGAGTTGAGGATGCAGGGACGTCTAGAGGGCCTACCAGAAATCTTAGAAAACACATAAATCAATGTCAGAAAATTAACGCAGAAGGGTTTGCCGAAACCTAGGCCACGTGGCAGTCCCTTCTGTGTTGTTGCTGGCCACATCTCGAGGCTTCATCTTCGATTGCTTGTTTTTGTATTGAAACAATAGGGGCCTTAATAACTAGACTACGCTTTGGGGGCATACTATACTAGAAAATATTAGAAATAGATGATAAGGAACGCCCAAACCAGTATAGGTAGTTATTAAGGCCTCTATACTACCTTGTGCATCACGACTATCAGTAGCAAGGACATAGGAGCCAACGGGCAGCAGCCACGCATGAACTGTTGAGGCAATGCCTCCACACGGGGGATTCGCCGCCACTGCACGATTGCGGGTTTTCTCATAGAGTGAAACATCTCTCGCGTTGACACGTGATACCAACACTGTCTGTCTCGATTTGCGTTTCTCCCTGGCCCCCCAACATGTTGACGTTTCCACTGTGGTAGGATCATGTAGATTCAAAGAGTTGAAGGTATCTGCTCGACTACTACGCATCTAGAGCTTTCCATCTGGCCTGCTTAGCCTTGGCTTTCTTGGCTCGTCGGCGGCTGCGACGGGACTCATTGGGAGCATCCTCCGCAGGATAAAGGGTTTGTAGCTTCTGGAGTAGGTCAGTCCGAAGGGTCTACACAAACTTGAAATCAAAGGAGTGTTTCAACAAAAGGCCTCAACTAGGAGGTTTATGTGCAGTGGGGTAGGAATGCCGCAATCAAGTCATGAAGCTTTGCCTAGCCTCTGGCCCGGCCCTTCCCAGTGAGGGAACACAACGGCTCTGTGAGATGACCTGAAAAAGTCTTCAGACGAGCCTCCTTGCTTCCACAGTCTGACAACTGGAAGTGCACACAAAATCTGAGTTAGCATGGTCCGAGATATCGGCTGCAAGTTGTACGAATATGTAATGGCAACTGCCCAGGAACAGCCAGTTTAGACCTCAACGCTTGCGAAGCTGGTCTCAAACTTCGCCTTCCCCCAACCCTCAGCCAGGCCCGTTTTTTGCATCCGAACTCAGCTGGTCCTGACTCTTCTTCATCTCGAACTCCTTCACAAGCTGGAGCTAGCCAGCCCCAACACATCGTCAAAGACTCACTGACACGCTTCCCAGGTCACAAAGCCACTATTGCAGAGCTAGTCTGTGCTCTCACATACAAACACACGCACACACACACACACAGAGACACATATATATATATATATATATATAGATAGATAGATATAGATATACATACACATAATATATGCATGTATGCATACATATGCATAAAACTACATGAGCGTGTGCATACATTCTGGTACACACAACTGCACAGATACATACGCATATATCTACGTATGTACGTGTGTATGTATGTACCTAGGTATGCATGTACGTATGTATGCACGTACATCTGTATGTACGTATGTAGGCGTATGGATGCATGTATGTATGTATGTACGCATGCATGTATGTGCTCGTGTTTTTGTTTGTGTGCATGTGTGTGTGTCTACGTAGTTACGTATGTGCGTGCGTATTCACGCATGCATGTATGCGTGTGCACATACATGTAGATGCTAAGGATGTGCTCAAACGATGAATGCTGATGCGGCGATGCGTTCTTGCTCGCTGATGGTGTTCGGTGTGGCCGTGTATGATGATGCAAAGTTGCCAGAGGATGTTCAAAGCAAATGCACTACTCAGTGGACGACGCATGTAGATGTGTATACGACCCGTGCGTGCTCACCTTTGTGTATTGCATTACATGTACACCGGGGCAACACATAGACACAAGTCAAGTCACAAGTATGTGTTTGCATACAGTAGCCTGCTTGCCTGACCTATATAATATTTTATTTGACATTCTGAGGGCTCCGGAGTTCCCAACTCGCTGCCCCAATCAGAAGCACAGAACAGGTGGTGGGCAAAGATTCCAAGATCCCAGCCTTCTCGAGCTCTTCAAGACTGCGAAGCTTCTTTCCGGGCATTGCCTTCGGAAACAACATGACCGATACGATGCCCTAGATACCTGAACTCCACGGCGCAGCGCATCCTTGAGCGTCACGCTCACTGCAAGGAAAAGCTAAACCCTCCTTGCAGACGTAATGCGAGCCCGAAGCCTAGCCGGGGCCTCACTGCTGGAGGCTTTCAAAGCAGAGTGCGGGAGGCGGGAACAGTCAGTCTTCAGCTGCAAGCCCAATGCGGATGAATGCCCCATCTAGGGTTTCCGGCGAACCTGCTTGTTAAAGCCTGGCGACCTAGAATCCTACCCTACACTGCACTTCCTGAACACTCAAGTCTAGCCTCAGCTGCCCAAGAACTTGAAATCTAAACTTCAACCTCGAACCCTAGAAGCTCAAATCTTTAAGGCCGGAACTGAAGCCCCGACTGGCAACACCCGAGAACGAAAAGCTCCCAAAGCACCTCCGCAACTATACATGCTAGCCCGGAAACACCGAATCCCTAAACCCTAAACCCTAAACCCTAAAGGATGCAGCCCTAACCGTAACCTGAAACATCCTCAGCCCAAGGCCTGAAAGCCTTAAGCCGAAACCCTGAAGCCAGTCTTAAGCACCGGCCCTGAGAAGCTTCCCTCCAAAAGTCATCGAAGTCCGCGCCTGGTCATCTTAGACTGTCTGGTGTTTAGTAGGGAATGGAAGAAGTGATCCCAAAAGTAGTCCCTACATAAATCCCTAATAAGAGTCTCCTTGGTCCATTCCCCCATTCCCTACTAAGCACCAAGGAGTAGATGCCACATCCAAAAATCGTGAACTTTCCACACCCTGAGCCCCATCTCGCCTGTTTATTATGAGCCTTGGCCTCAACTTCGTAGAGCAATGTCTGTGCATCCGTCGCAGCTTTGCAAGGTGAAGCTTTTGCTCAGGTAATTGGCACCATCTGCGAAAGGCTCTGCGATTCGCAGGCGTGCCTCAAGCACGCTGCACATCAGCATGCCTGAAAAATCCCGCGCTGTGGCACCACGGCTCGTGGCTCTTCGACCAGAAAATCTTAAAAGGATTCTTCGACTAAGTCAGCCTCATGCTCAAACAAATATATGTGTCGCATGGGATCCCGAAGAACGTCTCGGATGATTTCACAGCTAGCCAGATCGATTGGACGCAAGTTTCTGCTGTTCGAAATCGCCGGGTCTGCTCTGGCTGCAAGAAGGACAACCAATAGGTCCTCATTCCCAAACATGGCACAAAAGCCCAGAGGAGTAGAATCTACGTCCGCAACGACTTTCAAAAAATCAGGCGCATCTTTGAAACCACGCAACACAAGCCGTGCCATTGACTGACACAGACCGATCAGACCCTCGACTGGAAAACGTTGGTTTATGTCAGCTCGACCATCAAGCAGCAGCTGTGCCGAACGCCGACTGTTACTGCAGAAGCTGGCATATGCGAGATGTGTCAAGACCGGAACTGTAATATCGGCCCGCAGCTCCAGCAAGCTTGCGAGCACTTCGGATGGAGCATTCAACCCGGCCGCAACTTGGACGGGTCGCCATCGTGCGAGGGTCTTGCCAGTATCATTGATCCCTGCTTTGTTCTCCAACAAAAGCTGCAGAGCACCCGTCGAGCGGCAGTAATGCAAAGGTGGGGCAAGCATAGCATTGGAGCTCTTCACATCTGCCCGAAGCTCCAGAAGGGTCTTCAAAAGCTGAAGGTTCTGGCTCTGGAAGTAGCAAGCTATATGCAGCGGGGTCATACCCGAAGTGTTGTGAAACTCAGGCATTGCCGGCGCCCGCGTGTTTGCGGAAGCCTTAGCCGAGACAAGTGTCTTCACAAGGTCGCTGTCCCCGGCAAGCGTGGCGCAAGCAACCGGACCCAGACCCCCTTGCTTCAGTGAGACATCGAACTCAGAAAGAAGCTCCTGCAAGCTGCGCCGCTTCTTGGGAAGCCCTATCATCTCCTCGAAGAGGGACATGTAAAATCGGTAAGCCGCCTTCTTCTTCTTGCACCGCAACTTCGACACCTTATGCCACCACGCAAGCCGGACGACATCTGCGCAGGCTATGCCATCCTGTTCAATCTTGAAGTCGCCGGTGCGCACCGGGTAGAGAAACCAGTCAGTAGGCTTCACAAACCTGGATCTCTCTGAAATGAAACATGAACCTTCAACTTAAACATGCCAAGCCCCGAGCCTACAAAGACCCGACAAGAACAAGGCTTTGGAATGCTTCGGAACATACGATGCGGTACCGTCGTCTAGGGCTTAGGGCTTAGGGACTTTATTCTTGTCACTGACACAGATTCAGATCTATCCATGAAACAACGACCAGACTGGTCAGAGAAACTGCACCTGATCGTTGTCACGCACCACCAGCAAGGGGGTGGTGCTAGATTCTGAGAGCTGCTTGCACCAAAGCTCCGTCCTGCCATGAGTTTCAGGATTGCAGGGTTGAGTTTCCAGGGTTTTGGGCCTTCTACTGAGTGGCTTTCACCTCCTGCAAGGCCTGTCAGAAAATGGGGTTCAGTATTTAGAGTTGGAGCTCTTGAATTGTCTACTGGGCAATAGAACTAAAATCGTTGGATCTAAAACAAGCACTATCGCTAAAGCTGCAGCAGCAGCAACAACAACAACAACCAGACCAGCAGCAGCAGCAGCAGCAACCAGCAGCAGCATGAATTTTGTGCTGATGGGCTCCAGGTGCCAAGAGTCTCCAATGTATGCTGGCGAAAGCACAGGCCAACGGAATTTCGATAGCAAGAGTGAGGCCGCCACAGCCACAAGAATGAAGAAAATGTCACGCTGGTGATCGTGTTGGTCGAACTCAAAAAAGGTGCTACTAAGCGATCCATGACAGAGAAGCAGCCCATTATCCCCACCCAGTCCTAAAAGAATTACATACGGACTGCGTAGTTATGATCCTGGATGCAGGCGGACCCTACTAATCACGAGTCACTCGTGACTGGTAAGCATCTAGGCATTCGGCTGGGCCAGTCATGACACCGGCTTCAACGAGGCATGAACTTGCCGCACCAACTTTGGTCTCTGGTAGATGGCTTGATGCGGCCCCCACTGCCACCACTACAGCAAAAACACATTTAGCGCACTACCGCTACATTTTGCTTGAAGAATGACACTCACATCGGAAGCCATCTCGCAATAATCGTCTCGATGAGACATGCCCTTCTCCTGGTGGCTGCCTTGAGGATGTCAACAGATCGCTTGGCCGATGCTTCCACACGTCGAGTTTTGCGTTTCGGGTCTTTACGAACCACGGCCCGAAACAATGCTGTAACTGTAACGAACCAAGACTGCCTATGAACACAGGACAGCTTCGAGCCACAGGCAAAGCTTTATGAAAGACTGTGCCTGCACCATCCGCGCTGAAGCCAGCTGCTGTAATCGCAGATGGACTCTGCTTCATTGCGTGCCTTTGGTGTCAAGACCAAGAAGAGAGTAAGGAATGGACTGGATATAGAGTGGCTGTTCCGACACCATTTCTGCCATTTCACTCACCCCCTGCGGAACGCAGAAGTAGTCCATCCAAATGTAAGCTCTCCCAATTCGGGCACGTTCTCCTTTTGTCAGGATCCGATAGTTGCCATTGAAAAAGCCACACATTTGCGACACGAAATCCATGCCGATTCTCCTGGGCTAGAACACACCAGACTCAATGCTCCCTGGCGCATCAAGTTCCAAGAGCAACTACAACGGGCCAAGTTCAAGGCAAGATTCAGTTTGCCTGACACCACATGTTTCAAGACAGTTTGCAGCACGTTCAGCTGCACACCTGGGTGGAGCTCAAGCAAGGATGAGAAGCGCAGATGAGGGAAAACAGAAAAAGTATCACAACAAGGATTGCCAGATCCAGTCCCAGGCTTCCGCTAAGAACCACTGGCACATCGCTCGATAGAACAAGAAGCATCATGACACAAAACACAGCAGCAATGACACGTTTTAGCGGTTGCAACACCAAGTACCAAAGGAAATCCACGTACTGCGACAACAGACAAGGATGGTGGTATCTGGATATAACCGAACAAAGTACCTAGCCGTAGCTGCAAGCGATAACATGTAGCAGCAGCAAACTCCCTATCTTTTGTCCTTCTTCGTAGTGAGTAGTGGCAGTAGCAGCAGCAGCAGCTGCTGCAAGGATTTGTAGTAGTAGTAGTAGTAGTAGTAGTAGTAGTAGTAGTAGTAGTAGTAGTAGTAGTAGTAGTAGTAGTAGTACTAGTAGTAGTAGTAGTAGTAGTAGTAGTAGTAGTAGTAGTAGTAGTAGTAGTAGTAGTAGTAGTAGTAGTAGTAGTAGTAGTACTAGTGGTACTAGTAGTACTAGTAGTAGTAGTAGTAGTAGTAGCAGCAGTAGTAGTCGTAGTAGTAGTAGGAGGAGGAGGAGGAGGAGGAGCGCGGAGGAGGAGGAGGAGGAGGAGGAGTCTTAGAAGCAGGAGCGGTGCGCCGCAACAAATACTTTTAGAATCCGTCCAGACGCTCTCGAATACATGGTTTTTCAAGACCTCAAACTGCCAGGTCACCGTTGGGATCTGGATGATTGCTTCCCAGCCATTGGTGCGACACGAAGATGGTGACCATACCAGAGGTTTGCATGGCCAGCATGCCCTGAGCCTTAAGAACTTCGTGTGGCTGCATGATTCCTCGGCGAGTAAAGCTTTCGAAACGTATAATAACTTATGGTAATAGTAAGTTTCTGAAGCCTTCAAGTGTCCAAAAGCTTCCAAAAGTGAATCACACGGATTCCACTGCGCACTGTTCCAAAGTCCACAAGAAGCACTTCGACCGCCACGAGACATCACACCACAAAACTGACAAGCGTATGGTGCGTCTCAAGAATTAAGTGGGCGGATGGCAGTTTATGCGTGATGGTGGCTTCTTCCTGGGGCTCGGTTCACGCGTCAAAAGCATGCAAAATACTGCTCAAGAAGGTCCCAGGCACCTGTCATTTGCAGCACATCAGGGACCTGAACCGACTCAAACAGGGAGCATTTGCCCTACCAAACTTGCACCACCAGTCCTGCAGGACCCTTATTATTTCAAGCCGGACTCACGGCACGACCCAAGAACACTATATCAATCCTGAACTCGGAGGACCTCACCCAAAACCCTTCGGAGTTAGGGTTTAGGGTTTAGGTTTGTAACGACCTAGTCCCGCCTTGACAACCCACATGGGTGCCAGCTGTTGGTGCTGAGACGAAACATGCGAAACGCTGTCACCGCTGGAACGAGATTCCATGGCGCGAGTTGGCGCCCTGAACATGAAAATCCGTCAGATGCGATTTATAGTACATAACGGTATGCCTCGGCGTCGAAATTCGAAATTATTACCCCATGTCTGATCTTCATCCATGAACCCCTACTTCCCCAATAACCCAAACAATAACCCAAACAGAATGGGTCCAGGACAACTAAGTACAAGTATCCAACATGTGTTCCATCATCATGTTTGTAGAAACACCTGGGATGTGACAAAGTTTGGCATATGCCGAGATCTGGAAACGAGCTGAAGACAGTCAATTTGGGCTTTCCCAAATTCATCACGCTGAGATTCATCGTCTATGACTCGTCCGATGTGACTTTGGCCCACCTCGCAACTCGCACGTGGGAACTTGAGGTTCCACCTGTACTGTAGGGGCCTTAAGAATTCGAATGGGGTTTTGGGGCCCATTTATGATACCATAATTACAATAACAAAATAGTATGGCTAATTGTTTAAGCCCCTATATTAACCAAACCAATATGAAAAAGCAAAGTCATCTAGGCGAACACGTTTGCAAAGCTCACAAGCAGTTGAATGAGAGACGCACAGTGCAAGATTGATCACCTGCATTTCAACAGTTTAATCATCACCTCTCCAAAGCCACCAAACACAAGAAAACACATCAAGCTTCAAACCAATACAGAAGCTGCAACAACGGAGTTAGCCGTACTAGTCGGCAGAACACAAGACAACAAACATATTTGTTAACAGATGTGGAAGCTTGTCATCTTCGTTCGCAACGAAAACTTGAAACTTGTAAGATGTCATCTCCAAGTAAGTTGAATTTACCAGGTTTTGAACCCACTAGACTCACCAGACAACTCCTGTTTCTGCTACACATCGGTCCGCTGATCAACTGGCAGCTGAAGGAATAGAAAAAACAGAATTATCAAGTTGCAAACGTCGGAAGTCAGCCATTATAGGACATCACCCCTTTCAGCGACTAGCAAACCGTCAAGTCAAGCCACTCTCACCACGACCAAGCTGCTCTCAAACTACTTGCTAAATACCTGGCGCACTTCAATATGGGAACATGATGTGCCGCCTTCCTGATGCTTTTATGCCCAATTCATGGCAAAGAGTCAAATGAGACCCGAAGGTGGTGAGTGCGCGACACGCTGTCTGCATGATGGAGAACCATGATACGGTCGCGGCCCGTAGTCTGTGCGAACTGCTGCAGGCGGTGTTTGAAAGTTTATTTTACCATGTCGTCATTGTTTTTTGTTTTGTATGCTTACGTTTCTTTTTGAGTACGCTGTCACGTGTTACTCAGGCATCCTTACTAAACCCAATATTCAAACTAAACAAACTCGACCTCCGACCTCGAGAGTTTTCTCCCTCTCTTCCATTCCGGAGGACACACGCCTGGACTCTGGACAAGCGTATCCAGTCCTCGAGCATGTTGGGTTGTACGGACGGAAACCGACCCAAAGCCACGACCCCGCTCCGCCCATTTTGACTCGCTTTTGCAGCGTTTCACGCGACGGAGTCTCTGTCAGCCCCGTGCAGGTCTCAGTCCTGTCAGGACCATGGTCAGTACAGCACTGCACTGACACATTGCAAGCATCAGCTTTCGTGAACAGCAGGGGGGCAAAACAAATCGAGGACCCTGGGTTGGAGACCTGCGGGTGTGAATTGATAGTTTCAGCAATCATGTAGCGGCGAGTGCTGAACTACAATTTTGGAATATGACGACCTTAAACCCAAGTTCTTTTGCTCGCCCACCTTCGTGCTCGCAACCTTTGGCCCTGATTCGTAGCGCTGTCATGGTCGAACGAAAAACTAACACCCACACTGGCATGAACGTGTTTTTACTACTACTCACGTTGGTATTGCTGTGCCCGCCATGCTCCTCCTGCTGCTACTGCTGCTAGATGAGCTTTTGTTGCCGGTACTGCTCTTGTTGCCGCTGCTGTTGCTGTTGAAGCTTCTGCTGTAGCTGTAGCTCGAGCATTCTATTCTGGCTGCTCTGACGATCGCTGTGTCAGGCTGTGTCTTTCTGCTTCTGCTGCTTCTGCTGCAGCTCATTTTGCTGCTACTTCTGCCATTCAGGTCGAGGCTTACTGCTAGGTGCCAACAAGCATCCGTTAACGAGCATGACTACCAATGATTACGATGCCAGCAACTGCCATGAGCTCACACACATGGCAAAGCTCCACTCCGAAGCTCAAATCTTCGAACCCAAGCAGATGGCCTCGCAATCGCACGTCATCTCTGCATGGCTTGCCTGCTCGCGGGTTCTTGCTCTCTACGGTTGCTGCCACTACGACGAATTTCGACTACTTTTGCCAGGTACTAATACCTGACAAGCTCCCGCTTGCATTCCCGAATCCACAGTCTACTAGCATATGCTATAAGTACTACAATATTCACTATGATATACTCTGATATGCTGTCATAGGCTGTAGTATACCATGATATGCTACAATAGACTATATAGTGACGATAGTATACTCTTGCCTTTGGTTAGTCGGGAACGGAAGAATGGTAGTACTAGTAGTTATACGTCCTGCATTCCCTACTAAGCAAAGGTAAGCTATAGATAGGAGTAAGGCCCCTATAATATAGTACCCTTATAAATCGCCTTTTGTAACCCTTATAGGCCCCTTTATAAGGCCCCTTTCATTCCCTACTAACCAAAGGTAAGTACTACGGCAAGGACTGCTCTTTTCCCGCTCCTCCGCTTGCTGCCCCAAGGCCGCCCCACCAGCTCGAAGGTTCCTGGAGATTCGTAGACGTCTGGTCTAATGTAGGGTTTAGGGTTTAGAGGTTTAGGGGTTTAGGGGTTCAGGGTTTAGGGGTTTAGGGTTGAGGGGTTAGGGTTTGGGGTAAGGGTTTAGGGTTTACGGGTTTAGGGGTTTGGGGTTTAGAAGTAGGGGCTTTGACAGTCTTTAGAGGGTTCTGGAGCTCCTTTGCAGTATAACTGTTTTAACGAAGCTTAGGGACTAATAATGTTGCTGGTTTGGTTTCTATATTCATCGCAGAAGCCGCGCAAGAACGATTTCTCATCCCGCCGAGGGCCTGGATTTCACCTCGGTGCTGTCACCGACCTGGCGAGAAGCAGGCGCGTGCTAGCGGTGTGCGAAGTGAATCTGATATCATGGTCTGCCAGGTTCGGCGGCAGGCCAAAAACATATTATCGCTGTCAGGGGCAAAACCGGGTTCCAATTCTGGACATGCTGGACGAGACTCAGACTCTATCTGAATTCTGTCTTTCATCTGCTGCAGCCGACAACAACTATTGAAACTGTCCATGCTTTCTTCTGAGATGCGACTGACTCCTCAATACTCGTACTTCTCAAACTTTCTACGGAATAAGTCGACAAGATCGTCAACGGCATTTGCACAGTGTCTGCAACCTGCGCTACTACTGTTGATGATATAAATCCTGCATTACCTTAAGGACCCCAAAATCTGGGAATTATGGTATATTCCTTATTATGGGTCAGGCAGGATTCACATCATCAACCGTATTGGCTCTCGTGTGCCTGCTCGCTGGTCTTTGAGGCAAGCAGGGCCTCAGGAGGAACACTGACATCTCGGCGCATGCCCCCGGCTCAAACTAACATGGGAGTTTGCGAAAATTAGGGGGTACCTTATTTTGGGGTCCTTATACTAAGGATCCTACTATTCAGGGTACTATATTCGGGTCTCCTATTTTCGGAAACTCCCACATTCTTCTAGGTGATTCACAAGGCGGGCGACGACTACAGCACCGGCGACAACATGCTAGCGAAACAAACACCACAGCACGCTGTTGTGCTGTCGCAGCAGTCGCTGAGATGCCGACTGCTGCTGGGGCCGCTGGAGCTGCTGGGGCACCAGGCACGGCGCCCGGCATGGCAGCAGGCACGGCGCCGGGCACACCACCCCGCATGCCGGGCATGGCACCGGGCATCGCGCCGGGCATCGCACCGGGCATTGCCGGCATAGCACCCGGCATGGCACCTGGCATGGCACCAGGCATGGCACCGGGGATTGTGCCGGGCATGGCCGGCATGGCGCCGGGCATTGTCGGCATTGCACCTGGCATGGCACCGGGCTGCGCGCCAGGCATCCCAGCCATGTTTGGCATCCCGGTTCCTCCGGGCATCATGCTACCAACACTTGGCATGGATGGAAGGCTCGGGACACCAAAAGGCGGTCCCTGTGGGATCTGCATGGGATCAACCTCGGCTCCATACAGCACTGAGAGGTTCAGAAGGCTTCAATCTTCGTATTTCAGAGTAGCAGCACGCGTGAGCCTTCGAGGGTTGAAAGACGGTTGAGGAAAAAAAACAAGATTCCAACAGATCTAATCTGTGACCAGGCAGCCACCGGCTGTAGAGACTTTGGCGCCTCCGTGAGGTTGCAGGGCAGGTGAAGCATGACGGACCCCGTCATCGTCTGCGCGGCAGGCTTCAGGCTTCGGAGATTCCACCACTGAGAGTGAAGTCTATGGGCCCGATCTTATCTGTTCGGAAACCCTGTACCTTTCTGAGTACCCAACAAGGTAAATGCGATCAGGTGTGCATTTGTTGCTGATAGGAAAACTACGTCTGAACAGGCATATGCGTTTACTTGTCTGTTCTTGTGTTATCCACTTTTCTTTCTCTGATGTCACTGGCACTGGCGAAAGTGCTCTATGCTATCATCATACGGACACCGACGGAAAGCCGAACCCGCCTGCTCCAGCTGACATGGGGCCAAAGGAGGTGGCGGAGTCGTTGGAGGTGGGCCTTACTATAGGGGCCTTAATAACTAGAACAGGATTTTGGGGCCGATTATACGGTTGCTTGAAATGACGAACCCCTCAAATACTATGGCTGTGCTGTGGCTCGAAGCTTCAAGCTTCGCTGAAGTGCAGTCTTAGCGTAAGTAGAGATGCAGGCTTCAGGACGATGATGCCAAAAGAATTGCAGAGCCCTGAAACCATGACAACAAAACCAAAAAGCCGCAACACATCGGCCTTAATCGTCACAAATCGTTGCTGGCGTACATTACAGTACGAGCATATGGGGACTATTAAGAGATGTTGATGATGGTTCCGGGTCTCATATTGCACCATGAACCCTGCAACACCAGAGCCCTGACCCAGGGAAAACACGAAACTTGCAAGTGCTCCCAAACGTCCGTCGTGGCATGCTGAGGGATGGGCCCAAAGTTGGCAGATCCTTTCGGATTTAAGGGCTCAGGGTTTGGCGGTTAGGGTTGAGGGTTTAAGGGTTTGGGGTTTTAGCGTGTACGGTTAAAGGGTTTGTGCTGGGAGGTTCGGGGTGCTTCTATCAGTCAAGTATAACCGACATGGCAATAGTTCGGAATTTGTATTTGCGTTCTCTCTGAAGCTTTTTGGCATATAAGTAGAGCCACAACTGGGTCGTAGTGCGGAGTTGTACCCAGATACTATGTCGATATATGATTGGGTCAGAAGGAGAGTTTAGACTGGATTGTAAGTAGCCTGAACCGGATTGTAATGAGTCTATGAGCTCTTACACCCAGAAACCATTCCGTCACCTGTCGTCGGTCCTCAAACCTAAGCCCTCTAACTTTGTAGAAACCTTTGTAGTAATCCTCACAGTAACCCTTACAGCAACCTTCACCGTAGCCCTAAATGCCTCAAAAGGGTTCGGATCATGGGCTCTCGGGCCTATCCTTACCGAAGCTGGGCAGAGTCGCAGACATCCAAGGCGAACCCTAAATCCGTAAACCCTAAACCCTAACCCCTAAAGCCTAAACCCAAAACCCCAAACCCATTCGGGCCTTGGTCGGATCATCATCCCGATGCATCTTAACCCTGAAACTCTTCATCCCAAATCATCAGGGCTCCGGGTTTAAGGTTCATGGTGTAGGGCTTACGCCGTTCAGGGCTTAAGGGATAAGGTTTAGGGGGTCGGGGCTTTAAGAGTTTAGGGGTTAGGGTTTTGGCTTAAGGGTCTTGAGGTTTTTGGGTCTACGCTTTAGGGTTCCCTATAAACCTTGCGGCCAGTAGACGCTAAACCCTAAACCCGAAACCCTGCACCCTAAACCCTAGCAACCCTAAACGCTAAACCTTGCGCCCGAGGCTTAGCGGACCCTGTCCCAAGCCAAACTCTTCACGGCCCGTCCCCAAAGAGCCCAATACTCCTTGATCACGGAAGATGCCTCAAATTCGCAAGATCAAGCCTCCTGTAGTAGTTAAGACATATTCCTATTACAAAGACCCCACAAAATCTCGAAGAACCTTGTAGTTGAGTTTAAGGTGTATTCCCTAGTTGCGGAGTGTTGGGCTCTTTAGGTCTCATTGGTCTCATGCCCAGTAGAGAGAATCCTTGCCTCCGGCTTCACATCAGGCCTCAGGGGGCAGAGGCTTTCAAGCAAGCCCGAGCTAGGAGGTCGCAGGCCGTCGGGTTGGGGATTCCGGATTTGGGGTTTCGTTTTAGATGCGGTAGCTCTTTCTCCAATGTCCACGGATTTGCTTTTCTTTGAGGGCTCTTTTGCGCCTGCACGAAGGTTCGACCTACGCAAGCCCATTTAGGGATTTGGGGTTTAGGGTTTAGGGTATACAGTATCATTAGGCGCATTCTTTTTTGTCTTTTCTGCTGCTTAGGGGCTTTAAGGGTGGTTTAAGGGCTGGCTTAGAATTCAGGGTCTGAGGGTTAAGCGTGTGAAGATTTTGGGGTGGGCGTTTCAGCAAGTAGGGATTAGGCTCCTGGAGTTGGGTGCTGAGCCACAAAGAGTTATGGCCCGATTTGGAGCGTCCCTAACTTACCCGGTTTGGGGTTTTGGGTTCCGCGGCTTAGGGTTTGGGGTTTTGGTTTAGGGTGTGGGCTTCAGGGTTTCTCCGGTATGGTAAAGGTTAGGTTTTTTTTTTTTTAACCCCTCTTTTCCGACTGCACCGAAGGTTAGTAGGAACACCATGTTGGCGGAGGGTCTGGGGCGGGAGGCTCACTTCAATGGGGATTCACCACCTACACCACTAAATGACCCCTAACCGGCGGATCCAACGTAAGCCTCCCAGAATCCCGAGTTGATGCCACACTCGTAACAACAACTACATCTTAGCCATCCAAACAAACCAAACCAAATAAATCAGTAGTGAGGCCCAGGACCCAAACATTTGTGTGGCACTGCCCAAGCATGTTCAGCAAGACAGATGGATGAGCATAACAAACCCCAGATATAGTCCAATGGGATACCCGACAAACGTAAGAGGACGACCAGTATCAAAACAAAGAACTCTGTCCTGCGTCACTGCCTAAGCGGGTAAGTGGAGCCAGCTCAACACTTGCTTGCATCCCACACTGCCAGATTCAGTTCCGGCCTGTGAATTGCCAGACTTTCGGTCCTATGAACTCTCCGATCAGGGATAACCCCAACAAAGAACTAACGCCTCCCAACAAAAATCTGATCCCGTCTGGCACATTTGCTGCTTGAGCTGGAAGATTCTCAACAGCGCAGCTGGAGTCCCTGGAACATCCATGCAAGAGCCATAAGCCGCAGAACTAATACACAACACATATCACAAAGTACAGACGGGGCCCTCAGCCTCAACTTAGCTCGCCTCGCTAGATGTGCCAACTCGCATTCGGCCTCTACGCCTATGCTCTACTCTTCTACGCCCGTCGTTGTCGCCTCTCTCACTTCCGCTGTACGGGATAGTCTCCGCTTCATCCGGCATCGTTGGTGGCGGCTTGGCGTGTTCATCATTATGCTCTTCTTGCCCCTGGCCTCCATCCATGTTCCAGGCTTCGAAGGTCCGGAAAACATCACCGCCCCATTTATCGATCACCTCGGCATTGTACAAATCACCTTCCTTCCATCTTTTGTAGTCCAGCTGGCATGCCTTCAAAGCCACCAGTTCTTCGGCAGGCTGGCCCCTCTGCCAAGCTTCGCGGTGATGTGTCGATATATCCGGTGCAGTGTCCACATCCATATCTGCGATCTCTGCCGCCTCCACAATGAAGCCCGCCAACTCCTCGTTGGTATTAGCCACCAACTGTTTGAAGTCTATCCGGCCTTCGCGCCATGCATCGTACCATGGTCTGACCTCCGGGTTGTTGGTCGAGTAGGCCACCGCTCTCTCCTGTTACGGCGGCGGAGCTGGCTCACCTCCTCTGGCCAGTCTTTCTTCTTCCTTTGCCAGCGCTGCACTGGCTGACCTGGCCTCCATTCTCTTGCCACCCTGTAAGATCTCCATGCCGTGGTCCACCATCTTGATCTCGAGCTTGACATTCACTGCATCGCCCTCGTTTATCTCAATTTCGGAGTATCTGCTCCCCGCTTTGGTGGTGACTTCCATGCTAACGCGAACTCTTTTGGAAGGCGGTCGTTCACTCCATCCAAGCCTCGCCTGGATTGCCGCTCTATCTCTTAGTTGCGCTTCTTTTGCCATCTCTTTTTGATGCCACTCAAAGAGCTCTTCGTCCGCTTCGCGCTGGGTGGCAAGGAGCCGTTCTTCTTGATCCTCCAGCGGCTCACCCTCCGGCATCATGACTACTTGTGCTGCTTGGTGGGAAGACGTCGCCCGCTCGGTCTGGTGGGCCATGGCATCGGGGTTCGCTCGGACTAAGCGGTCAAACCATCGGCTGACCCATTGTTCTTGTTCCACTAGGCGGCTGCCACAATGGATGGCCCCTTTCCTTCCTGTATGGGCGGCGAGCACTGCCTCAATGTCTCCCCAAGTAGTGACCGCGGACTGGTAGGGACTAACCGCACGGTGCAGCTTCATGGACAATGTCGTAGCTTCGTCTTCTGGCATCCTGGCCAGGTCATCATTCAACATTTGCGCCACGGTGAGGTCAATTTTCCGGGGCGACGACAGCAAACCAGTCAAAGTTCGCTGCATCATGCTCGTCACATCTGCACTTGCTCGGGACATCACCGTCATGCCGTGCAAGATTCGGGCAGTTTGCTCCGTCCATCTGAGCTGAGAGAGTCCCAGCGGCAATCCATTTTGGCAGCAGGCTTCCGGTCGCCATGGGATCACAATGGTCACCTGTCGTAGCAGATCTATATAGACCTCTCTGTCTTCCCTGTCATAGGTGCTGTCCATGTTGTCGGCGACGCTGGCTACCAGGTGCCGAACCTCCATCCCTTCGTACCACACGGTCTCAAGTTGATCACGTAAGCGCAGGAGGTCTTGTTCATGTCGCTTCCATGCTTTGCCACCCTCAGTACCTTCAGTGTCTTCACAGCTTTGCATGTGGGTCTGCATCAGTCCCACCTCTTCTTGCTCATCCTCCCAGGGTGCTTCACTCGCCGGTTCATCACCTTCGGTCGCTGCTGCGCACTCTCGGCCTTCTAGGGGTGAGATCTCCTCTACGACCTCCACATCTTCCTCCACTTCGACAGTAACCATGTCAGGATCATTTCCCCGCGTGCTTGTTGTAGGGGTCGGTGCGGCGTCCGTGCTCGAACCGCTGGGT